CCTAGTCCTCGATCAGATCCTGGGAGGAGACACAGATCCCTCTGGGGTTATGTCAGGAAGGGCATCCAGCGTACAAATCTGCCAAATCAAATATGTGGAGCTACTCACTCTGGCATTGCTAATGGCTCTATTATTAGAAGTTTATTATGTTAGCTTCTCTGTAGACTTTCGTTCGTCTGGTGGTTTACTTACTTTGCCAGTGAAATTCCTCCTGTGATGCTGAACAAAGTGTCAGAGAAAAATTCAAATCTTCAGTCACGGTTCTACTTTCAGCTCAGAGTCAGATGGTTGGTGTTATTGTTCTCACTGCAGGGAGCAACATTAGTTACATCCCTCCTCATCTGTGGATTCATTTCCCTCTGTAGCAGCAGAACGGTGCACACAAATGCTGATATTAGGTGGGGAGTACAGAGGAGGCAGGTGATGAAAGGTTGATGCTTTCTGAGTTTGCAGGTGAATTTCAGGTATTCGTTTATGTTTTAACCACAGGACAGTCAAACTGTCATTTTTCACTTTAACGTGCATAATTAACACGTGTGATAAAGATTCTTTTAATACAAGGATGAGAATTGTGTCAATCATGAAAAAAAAGTGCAAATTTAAAAGATATTAATTTAATTTTAAAAAACATTCTGTGTTTTATGTTTTGTTGCAGTTGCATTGCATGGAATCACAATTTCTTTCAGCCCTGCAGACATTCGTCCTGCCTTTGTGGTTTCATAAGTGCAGCGAGGAACATACTGCAAAACATATTACCCACGTTTGACAGATATGATGCTGATATGATCTGTGTCATCACACGAAGCACCATAAACGTGTAACGAGCTGATGATGGTGACATTACACAGTTTTGTATCAGACTGAAAACTGCGACTCAGCTGTCGTGCGTCGTCTCAGCAGCCAAACAAATGTTTGCAAACTGCCACAAGACGAAACGAGCCAAAGGAAGACTGGCTTCGACTGTTACTTCATGTCTGTTTTGCATAATTAAAGATTCATGCTTGTGTTTTTCAGATCTGGCACGGTGAGGCGATCTAACACCAGTCCAATGGGTTTTCCCAAAGTGGGCTCGGGCTCTCCGAGCTCCGCAGACGTCCCTCAGACCGTGGGCCGCCGCCTCTCCACTGGAAGCTCCCGGCCCTACTCGCCCTCACCTCTCGGTAAGGTTACG